CACTCCCAGCTCCCTTCCTGCCTGGCTGCTCTCCAGCCCCTCTGGCCCAGCCTGGAGCTGCCGGGGGTTGTTGTGGCCAAATGACGGGGCACGAGAGGCACCGAAGCAAAGAGCAGCAGCCTGAAGGCCTGGGCTGATCCCAGGGCTCGTGTTTTTAGGGAAGGTTTCCTGCCTGGATGCTGGGAGCACGCTGGTGACTCACTGTGAGCATGAGGAGCCAGAGGTCCCCACCTCCCCATCCCTCATTTATCACATCCCTGCCCTCCTCGCTGTCTGCACCGGCGTCATCGCCGCCGCTCGGGCCGGGGAGCCAAAACTGCTCCACAGGAGACAGGAATGGTGAAAAGAGCAATATTTTGGCTCGTGTTGCCCCGTATCTACAGCTGATCTTGCGTTTAACACCAGCCCAGACGGTCATAACAAACCCCCCCGGCTCCAAAATATTCCCTGAATGCACCAGAGGGAAAACATTCATCCTTCTTTGCCTACATAAATATACAGGTAGAGATGAATGTGTGCACACACGTGGATTTTCAAGTGTGCACACCCACACATGTATTTTATAACCCTTCACCCAGATATCCATAAATCACCATCCTCTTGCACGTAAATTTTCCCCAGAGTTAAGCTGCAGATTGTTATTGATAAAATATGAACTAATGCTCAGAACATCCCCGTGTGTTTAAGGTGGAATTTCATTTCAGTCAGGAGGAATTTCATTTCACCCGCTAAAAGTAAAAAAATGTTAAGCCTGGACTAGTTTTCTGGGTTTCTTTACAGCCAACAAAAAGAGACAGGCACATCCAGAGGACAATTTGGCCGATCTGTTTTAGGATTTATTGGGTAGCTATGGATGTCATGTGGGAAGCAGGGCTGTTAGAGAGGGAGGGGAGATGGATTGGGAAGGGCCAGACTGGAATTTAGGTGCTGGTTCAGAGCCTGAGACAATCTGTCTTCAGTTCTGGTGTCTTCCTGTGAGCTAAGTGTGAAAATTCTCATTGTAATCATTGGAGAACCACTCAGGTGGATCCTAAACGAGCCTAAAATAGACACCTACCAGCTGATGACTTGAATTTTGTCCTCACATCACAGCAATTCAACTTATTACAGGCAAGAGGATGTTCTCCAAACACACAACTGGGGTGGAGACCATGGAGTTACCAAGACAGGGCTCCCAAACAGGACCTTTGAGAGACCTGCATCTTTCTGGACTGGAGCTGGAGGGTCAGGGTACAATAAAATATGTAAATATTTCAATATTAAATCCTAAGTGCTAAAACAGCCTCAGAATTCCAAGGATTGTGAGTGAAGGAGATGTGGAGCTCAGCTGGGATCACTGAGTCCCAGTGGGACCAAGACAGGGCTCCCAAACAGGACCTGCATCTTTCTGGAGTGGACCTGAAGGACCAGAGTACACTAAAATATTTAACATATTTCAATATTAAATCCTAAGTGCTAAACCAGCCTCAGAATTCCAAGGCCTGTGAGTGAAGGAGATGTGTAGCTCAGCTGGGATCACTGAGTCCCAGTGGGACCTCCCCTCACCTCTTGCTGCCTCTCCAGTAAAGCCCAGCTTTGGGTCAGATCCTGAGCAGAAACACAGGGGAACCTAAAATAGACACCTACAAGTTTATGACCGGAATTTTGACCTCACATCACAGGAATTCAACTGGCTACAGGCAAGAGGATGTTCTCCAAACACACATGGGGTAACCAAGACAGGGCTCCCAAACAGGACCTTTGGCAGACCTGCATCTTTCTGGAGTGGAGCAGGAGGACCAGGGTACACTAAAATATTTCAAATATTTCAATATTAAATCCTAAGTGCTAAAAGAACCTCAGAATTCCAAGGAATGCAAGTGAAGGAGATGTGGGGTTCAGTTGGGATCACTAAATCCCAGTGGGACCTCCCCTCACCTCTTGCTGCCTCTCCAGATTTTAGCCCAGCTTTGGGTCAGATCCTGAGCAGAAACACAGGGCAGCCTAAAATAGACACCTACCAGTTTATGACCTGAATTTTGTCCTCACATCACAGCAATTCAACTTACTACAGGCAAGAGGATGTTCTCCAAACACACATGGGGTAACCAAGACAGGGCTCCCAAACAGGATCTTTGGCAGACCTGCATCTTTCTGGAGCAGAGCTGGAGGGTCAGGGTACACTAAAATATTTAAAATATTTAAAAATATTTCAATATTAAATTGAAATTTCATTTCAATTAAAACAGCCTCAGAATTCCAAGGATTGTGAGTGAAGGAGTTGTGGGGCTCAGCTGGGATCACTAAGTCCTGGTGGGAGCTCCCCTCACCTCTTGCTGCCTCTCCAGATTTTAGGTCAGATCTAAGTGTCCCTTGGGCAGAAAACTCACTTTTTCAGGCCGATACTGGTTGTATTTCTGAATAAACAGTTGGATTAGAGATTGGACAAGTTATTATTATAAGTTATTATAATAATTATTATTTATTTTTTTATTTTATTTTGTATTTATATATTTATTTTATATGAAATCACTAATAATTTATAATAATTTATCCATAATAACACATTATAACAATAACAACAACTTATAATTATAAGT